GTAGTTTACAGGAACACAGTGGTCTGGAGATGAGTCAAATTCCCAGCCTGGGCTGTTGTTTCAGTCCATACCCTGTGATATGAAAAATGAAAGTTTTTCTGCCTTGAGGAAAAATAAAAGAGTGGATCCTGTGATGCAGCAGAATAGTTATTTACACGAACGAGCAGTAAGTATGGTTGCAATACTTGCAGTTATAACTAAACTAATACAGTTACAATACTACAAAGCTGCTTTACTCGTGCACACCCTGGCCTGTTTTATGTAAATATTACTTTAAATGCTTTGTAGAACACTGTTAAAAGAGGCTAATTTTAACATTTTTATGAGTCCCACAAATTTTCAAAGTCCTAATCAAGGAAGTTTTCTCCCAAAGAAAACAGGTCTTCTAAACTGCCCCAGATAGCTTTTTTTGCAGTCCACATTTTTCTTGATTTATCTGCACCACTATGTACCAATTTTACATAATATCCACCTAGCGGGTATCATGCAAAGTAGTTTGGCACTCCCTCAAAAATGAATGAACAGCTGCCAGGCAGTCTCCCTCTGCAGTGCTGCTTTTGCCAACTGTAATCTTTCTCAGGGACAACCAAAGCATAGAGACGCTGTTATTGGCTGTGACATTGGACACACGAGTCTTCATGCACTCCCGACCCCTGAGAGGGTGAACATCCAGCATCTTATTGTTATTTTTGATTGCAGTGTCCCCTTTAACATTGCAGTGCAAATTGAACAACTTGTGTGGTTAGCTTTAAATATATTCCCACTGGCCATAGTTGCATTAAAATTGAAAGGATGAGGGTCAGTCAACATTTTGGGAATCAGTTTGAAACCAGTAAACAGCCATACTCTGTTAGTTTGTTAGTTCCTGTGTTTTCACGTCACGTTTTTGTGTTATTTACTGCAAATTATACTCGGCTGCCTTTCTGAACACTTCCTGATGGTATGTAAAGGATCCTTTTGCTCACCCTCCAGGTCCTCAGCATGTTTCATGAAACTCTGCTCGGTAATTTCCTTGTAATTCTGCTGATATTGCTCCAACTAGACTCACATTGGCAGAAAAACTAATAATCAGAAAGTAATTTGTGTGAATTACTATGAAAAATATGAAAATAAAACTGCATCGTGTAACGCCTTCCTGAACGAGTTGGTTCTGGTTCTTATACATAGGGGATACATAGCTGAACTCCAGGGTGTCGTCACCCGAAAGCTGGCATCAAGGCGACTGCATAAATCGAGTGTTATGTCTCTATTTTGCCTGGTTGTTTACTAATCAGAGCAGCAGCAAAGAGGCAATCAAGCAGTGATGTAGTCAGGTATGAGGAATGATACTTTTCTAACATCCACTTTTCATTGAAGGAAGTTTTAAACTGTGGGTAAAAATACCTCCCACTTCACTACTTTACACCTACACATGCTGGGGTGTCTGTGGGGCAGTCGTGAGGCGTGTGGGGGCCTGCAGATGTGAGTCTGATCTATAATAAGACCACTCTGTGAGGCATTTCAAATCTTCTCCTCCTCCTCCACTGCCATGCCTCCATTCCTTAGCTCCATCCAGGGAGTGCCACCTCCTCCACCTGTTGCTGTCCATCTGCAGCACAGAGCTGCAGTTTAAAGCTGCTGTAGGTGAAAACCTACACAAGCTTAACAATCCCCAGTCATCTGCATGTTTACACTTTCACTGTAATATTCTCACCTGAAAATGTTTCTTCACTTTTCTAATTTCACAGATCAGGAAATGTAAAAATGTGTTTTAAGTGTCTTTTATTTTTATTTCGTTTATTACAGTTTCAATAATTGAACAGATTTCTATATAGTTTGTATATACATTTAAAAATTACATCACTATCTGGAAATTTCTGTCACCGTTATGCCTACTTTAGTTTAATAAAACATTTCAGTAACAACTGCTCATTTAGACTCTGACGCCACTTATGGGCCATTAGTTCAGCAGTGCAGTGGGTACACCTGCTATTGCCGCTGCACTTGATAAATAGTCCCTCTCAGTAGCACAAAAACAAGTCAGAAAGGGTTAGAATATCCTAAATAAAAATATTCTATTTCTAAAGATCATATTTTGTCTTTAGTCTGTGTCTGATTTTAAGTTTAAACTATATTCAAATGCACGTGAAAACACCAGAGAGTGAAAACATCTTATTCCAGAGCTCAGTGTCTAAAAGTAGATCATTATTCTTTAGATAATTGTCTTAAAACCTTGAAGAATAAACATGTGTGAGGGTGAGGTCTCTGTCTCTACTAGAGCACCATTCAGTGAATTAGCAGGTACTCTGGGATGGTTCTGATGTCTCCGCGGATCTTTTAAAAGCATCGGTCTCTTCAAAATGTTGTTCTGTTCCATTAATTCGTGTCCCTGCTCCTCCGTGACTGATACACTGACGGCTGGGATGCAGCGAATGTATGTTATGTGTTCCTGTGACCCGCTAGACACCAGATACCCCCTACCCACCCAAACAGGCACGGCATCCACGCTGACACCACACGCCCAAACACACGCACTCAAATTCACACACACACGCACATAGCTGAGCTGAGGCACCGAAAAGTAACCACATGATTGCAGAGAAACAGAGGTGATTCCTGCAGACTTGTGCTGTTGTTGGCAAGTCCATGAATTCAAGAACGTTCTTAAAAATATTTCCAACAAACCAAACTTTGTCCAGCAGATGCACTGTGCACAGGGGCAAAATATTAGCCCACTTCCTGATTTCTTAGTTTATTTGTTTCTTCCATATTTGTCTCACTTAAATGTTTCAGATCATCAAAGTAATCTTAACATGAGTGAATACAGTGTGGGAACAAAAACTAATCAAACCTACCTGACCCTCCTTCAATCATTAATTGACTCTGATTAGCAACAGCTTTTGCAAAGCTGAGACAAATTTCTCTAGCCACGCTTAAAGAGAACATGTCTGACAAACCAAAGGAGTCTAAAAGATCTCAAAAAGCAACACATTGTGCCGTGATCTAAAGAAACTCAGAGTTACAAAATCATTTCTAAAGGCGAACCATAGTGAGAGGTTTCATCCACAACTTGGAACAGCGGTGAACTTTCCTAGGAGTGGCTGGCCTACCAAAATTTCAAAAATACTGCATTGACAAGTCAGCCCAGAATAACTTGTAAAGAACTGCAGGCCTTACATGCTCCAGTTAAGGTCACAGTTCATGATTCAGCAATAAGAAAAAGACTTGGCAAAAATGGCATCCATGAGAGAGTTCAGAGGAGAAGATCATTGCTACCAAAAAGAACAAAGGCACATCTCACGTTTGTTAAAAGGACTCTGTAGACTAATGGGACAAAAGTTGAACTATTTAGAAGATTTGATTCCTGTTTTATCTGGTGTAAAACTAACAAAGTATCTCAAAAAGAGATCATCACACCAACAGTCAAACTTGTGGGCGCCAGTGATGTTCTGGAAGTGCTTTGCTGCTTCATGACCTGGACCATATGTCATAATTGATGGAACCATAAAATCTGCTCTGTACCAGAAAATCCGGAAGGAAAATGTTCGGGCATCAGTTTGTGCCGTGAAGCTCAAGAGCACTTGGATTGTACAGCAGGACAATGATCCAAAACACGCCAAGATCATTTTGAAAGTCTCGATTTATCCAATTGAACAGCTTTGGCATGACTTTAAACAGAATGTTCATGCTGAAAAAGCTTCCAATATTGCAAATGCCTGATTGCACTTCTTGCCACCAAGGGTGGTACTTTAGGCACTTTTTCACATAGGGTCAGCCAAGTTACACTGGATAAACAGAAAGGTTCAGCATGCACAGGGTTAAGACAAGCAGTGGAAGTATTCTTGCCTTGATCAATCCTCATTTTAAACACGCACAAACCTAAACCTGTATTTTACTATTTGACCTACAAACAGCTTGATTTGTCATGCTTGTATCTGCACTGCAGTCTCTAGGACATCACCTTTGTTTAATGAAGTTCATTTGTGCCATGTGAACAGTTTATATAACTCAAAAACCAAGAAACGCTGCACTCTCATAGGCTAGAAGCTTGCAGTGTCACATGAAAAAAAATGCCCTGCTTTATCATCCATTTTAACTCTTGTGATGAGTAGAGTCAGACAGTGCACCTGTAAGAAGGTCAGTTCTTTCCTACCATTATTCCAAACTTTGCATATTGCCACTGCGGTAGTATAATTTTATCAGCCTTCAGGGAGCATAGTGGTGTGCATCACCTCGGAGCAGCTGCTGACATGAAAAGTTACCAAAATAAACAATTTTGGCATTTTAGTATTTCTACAGAATATTTATAAGACACTAGTTTAGGCTTGTTGGGACCACTGGTTTCCTAAAGGTGTGAATGGACAGTTTGTGCAGATGGCTGGGCTCGGGCAATCAGTGCAGAGCAATAACTGAGACTATGGAAAGAATGTAAACCCTTCCAGAAGCTTCAGACTGACAGCTGTGTCACTATATCAGAGTCTCTAACTCCATATACTTAAACCTGACATGAATACCAGATGTTCATTTTCTCAAGAGCACTACCGGGGCTAATTTACTGTTACATGATGCTGTTATATTTCGATGGCATGTGAATAGTGACTGGTGTCCTGCTGTCTCAAAGAAAGTGCTTTATGTCACCAAATGTCCGCTGAAACAACAATTACTTGTTCCAGTTTTATTCTGCTCTTTTTGCTGGGCAAATTTTCCCAAGTATCCGCCCTTTCATTGCTTTTGATTTATACATGAAAATGAACTCACATCTGAACCATCTTCATTTTTTTTCTAACGAAACTTGAGGTAATTGCACAATTGCATTCTTCCTTGTTTATCTTCTTTCAAATGCAGGAAAATTGGCTGAATAAATTCAGGAAATGTCCTTCCACTCTCATTCTTTATGCCGCTCAACAAATCACTAACATGCTCCGTATCTAAAGATAATACCCAAGACATTCTGTTCATCACTGATTGATAATCAATGAATTAACAAATTAACAATGAGTTGTTTTCTTTTAATGTTTTAGACAGAGACCAAGAGGACAGCCATGTTTTCAACCAGACCAGAGATCCAGCCGTAAGTACACAGCCTTCTTCCTGCTCATGCAAACACACCCATAAGTCATGTTACAGGTGTTACAGAGAAAATGTTTGATACGAACAGTACCAAGAGTTGCCTGCATGAATGAAATTTGGAATTTACTCTAAATAAGGTGTATGTACAAACTGAGCTGTCACTTTAAAATGTGCAGATCTGCACATAAACAACCAAACAAAAGCTAAACTATCTTGGTGCACGCAGAAACTATCATGTTTAGGTTTTAAAAGTGCACATGCATCCTTCATTTAGAGACAGAAATGGCAACTAATTCATGATATCTATGTGCACGAAAGGGTCCCTGGTGTCAAAAAGGTTTAAAAACCCGTACCAGACTTTCTTTAGATCTTGGCATAAATTCATGAATTCTTAAAAATACAGAGCTGAGATGCAAGAGATTTAAACAGATCATTCCCTAATCAGTGGCAAATAATCTCATACATAAAGGTTATTGTGATTTTAAAGTTTTATAGATTTTTAGGCATGATAAATATAAGGAATATTCACTTCTCCATTAGACAGTTTTGGGTTGTTGGTTTTTTTTATACCCTTTTCTTGCTTTCTGTCCACAATGTCGATGATCATGTGAAACACGGCCACCAGAAACTCAAACATTAAGTAAAAATAATAATAATTCAGACTCCACCAAATGCTCAGTTTCATGCATTTTTTTCTGCTTTTGGATTTGTATGATGTCATAGTGAAGGCATGTGGTCATATCAGGCAAACAGCTGTGGCTGTCACCACAGATGTCCCGCCCACCTGCCATTTAAACCCTCTGTTTACAAGAAGCAGCAAATCAGAAGAAAGCTGACCTTAAAAAGGAAACCAAGGAATCAGTCTTAAATAAATAATGATGATTTTGCACAAAAAATCATGCAATGTGACTTTTTGTCCAACAACAAAAATCCGATACTGGAAATGAGCTGAAGAGGTCGCCTTTAGATTACAACATAAAAAACAAAAATGTAATTTTTCAATGTCAATTGAGTATATTACATTTTAATTAAGTAACTGCAGTGTTTGACCAAGAACCAACTGTTTGCTTATCCCAATACACAAAGAAAAAAGTTGAGCAATTTCCATTTGACTGTATATTATAATAATAATAATAATAATAATAATAATAATAATAATAATGATTCTGTAACTATAAAAAACATGCAGCATTTCAGCTCTAAGTACCCAGGGGACACTTTCAGTCAGTGGAGCGATTCTTTTATGCGACTGCTGTTTAACTGAAACGAGCGTCGACAGACGTGACTGTTTGTCATGTTGCGCAGCCGTGTATTTTACTGTGGCTGTTCATTTGCTCTAATCAAATCTATTTTAAATGTAGTGCATTATTGCACTTTATGAAGCGAGCTGCACATTATCTCTAGTGGCGTAGCACCTCATAAACAGAGCACTAAGTCATTACAGCTTTAAGTTTTATGCCTGCTGACTGCTGTGTTTCTGTGAGAGGAAATGTGTGTATTTATGTATCTGTGAACAAGCAGCTTGCGGGGTGAGCACTAAAGACATGAGCATGGTAAGACAGCTTTCAGGAATATTGCATTTGGTAAGCAAAATGGTTTCAAACTGAATTCTTCTAATGGGAACAATTATAAGATCTATTATCACAGGCATTCAGCTTTCACTGTGTGCTGGGAATTTATAGTTTGTGTCAGAGGTTACACTGTCAAAGTGTTGGAACATAATGTTTTGACAAGATCATCTGTGCAAGAGTTCATGTCACAAGCAGAGGAAGGAGATATAGGAGGGTTGGACATGGCGTGCTTCCTCTAGAAAAGGGGGCGAGAGGTAAATGCCCCCTTTTTAACTTCGACTTAGTCTAAAATTAGTCTTGGGGAGAAACACCGTTTCAGTCCAAGAAAAAATATTATTTGCAAATTAGAGGCAGCAGCATAATAACAACAACGGTAGCTTACATTTTTTCACATAGAGATTCCCAGTACAGTTTTCCTCTGTTAAACAGCTTCACCGGAGCAGCAGAGAAAGAAATGTCAATATGTGTTAAAATTTAAAACATACGTCTCCCTGTTCTTAAGATTTTTCCCACAGCTTCCACTGCAGAGCTGTTCACAGGGCCAAAATAATCTTATTAATTGAGTTAAAGGGTAAAACCACCAGAAACTGCTGCCTCACGCGCTCAAACATCTCACTTTCTGTTGTCTGGGCAGGTAAAAGATAAGAGGCGGTCACCCCCGTCTTCCAGATCCCCCTCCGCCCCCCAGCGCAACCCTCACCACAGCGGCTCCACAGAGGAACAGGAGAGCCCTGAGAGAGTGGTGAGACACAGAAAATGACCTGCAGTGATAGGATGCACATGAAGGTTTCATGCATAAACTGAGTTTTACTGCCATGCATCCATGTGTCAGAATAAAGGTGTTTACAAATCTAATTGTCAATAAAGAAAAAAAAAGGTTGTCTGAAAAGCAACACCGCTTACAAATCATCTTTTTCGTCCATTTTTCATAAAAGGTAAAAACCTTGGGTCATTTTAACCTCCTAGGACCTGGCGTCCACATATGTGGACATCACATTTTGGGTTATTTAGACCAAAATACTCAATTTTGCTCTACAAGGGCCTGATATCCACTTACGAGGACATTATACTGCTACTGTTCTATCGAAATTTTAAACGAATATCCTCATAAGTGGCTCTCATTTTTCTCAGAAACAAAAATTGGGTAAACATTTTTTTTTAGTAATTCTTTGTTTTTACATTCATCAGGTCCCAATCAGCCCAAATATCAAAGAGAAATTAAAAATGCATGCTGTGGAAGAGTTCGGGTCTTAGGAGGTTAAAGTGTATCTGAAAAGACTTTTAGGTAATCCATCTTATTGTGATCAGTATAATAACAAATGCCACTTCCTACCAGGCAATATCTTACACTAGCTTTATGAATTTTACAGAATTGGTCTTTACCGTACAAAATAACGTACCTTGCAGTAATTGCTGTTGTGATGGGGCTCTATATAAATAAAAATAAAATGAATTAAATTTGATTAGCGGGAATTGATTTACCTTTGGAGCCAGCCTCTAGTGGCTGCTGAAGGAACTGACAGGCATTTAAATATTAACGTTTTTCAGCTGTGGAGCTTTCTCTGTGTGTAAAGGGTTCTGATCAGTCATGTAAATATCAGATTCTCAATGCTAGTGTTATAAATTTAACCAAAAAAAACAAAAAATCTTTATTTATTTAGCTTATACACAGTATCAGTTTAGTTAGTTTTTGCTTTATTTCAGTTAAGTAACACAAATTTTATTAGCTAGGTTCATATTTATTTATGATTTCCTTGATTTGGGTCAAAGCCATCGCAGCTCCACTCACGTTCAGAAAATGTCTATTTAAAAAAAAAAACTATGTTGGTATATGGATATATTCAGAGCAGAGAGGTGACTGACCTCCTGACCTGGACACTAACCAGGACCATTCAAACTGGAATACAATAGCCCAGGACAGATATGCTGAGGTCATTGTCCCACACGTAAACAAGCTCTCATTTCTCCCAGCTCAGCAGGAATGTCACTCCACAGTCTTTTCACGCGGCAGCAGGTGACCGCCAGCCGCAAAATGAACAACAAAATGTCTAAATATGACGAAGCTGAAGTGACAGTGCAGGTGCTGGGACTCTGTAAACACCCCAACACACAAACTAGAATGTTAGCAAATTTAGGAGGAGGACTTTTAGGAGGATTTTGCAAAAAGCGGTTGCTGTTGGATGGGACCAGACAGTAACACATACTGGTTGCAGTTATTTTGTGCCCATTTGTCTGCATTGCTAACAAGGTGAATGGGATTTATCTTGTTATCATGTGGGAACAACAACAGCTGGAAGGACAGGGGGGGCGGGATCAATTAGCCAAAATTATTTGAATATTAGCTAGGTGATATTTTTAATTACATGGTTAAATATGTAGTTTGAACAATGCATGTAATTAAAATTCAGTTCTTATTTTTCACATTTAGATGTGTAATGTTGTAAATTTGCATTCTTATGTAATTATCAATTAACAAGACAGTCTATACAAAAACAAAAGTGGGTGCCTTATAACAAATGTATCCAATTAATTAAGGTTTTTTTCTTTATTTAAAATTTCATTGATTTTAAGTTTATTTTCCTTGATTACCATTTACAGGTATTACACTAAATAATAATATTAGTTATCTTTTAGCTTTCAGTTATTTTACAGTTTTGTCCTTTATTTTTTCCAGAGGCTTAAAAGTAACACAATAAACTGCTGAAAATATATCTATTTTTATCTTCATTATGTTAAACTATATTTATGTCAAAGATTTACACAGTTATTCTTTCCATTACTGAAGTAGCTATGCATGATAAGTCATTTTAAGCCCTCACACTTTGAGTCAGCTTTCTTATTATGGCTGCCAGAAGTTAACTAGTAGTTTGAAAAGGTGGTAGGTCAAAAAATGCCATGAGAAAAATGTCTAAAACTGAAGATTTAAGGCACTCTGAAGGCAAAATTTGGGATATACAGTAGAGTGTCATGAACTGCAAAGTTTAAGCAACAGACAAACAAATGTTTGTTTGTTGGCTGACAAACAAAAGGTAAGCTTTATTCCAAAGCTGATAGCTTTAGTCCAGGAAGGGAAAAAATAAAGTGTAATCCAAGATTATATGAAGCTGGTTCCCAAAAGGCTATAAACAGGACTACAGAGACTTATGCTGAAAAGACAACAAAGGCTAGAATAAAGACAGACTGTTTCTACACGTGAAGGCAGATGTCAGGTAGATGGAAACGCTTCTCCTTCCATCTACCAGCACAGTTGAACTACCAAAATAAATCAGGAAGTGAGTGACAATAACTGACACGGGAGATGTAGAGATTTGAACTTTCACACATCGGAGGATGCAGGGAGGAAGGGAATGCAAGTGACAACTTACAAACAGAACCTGGAAGTAAGAATTTGAAGTTCAAAGCACATGAAAACAAAAAACATAAATAACAAACTAAGAAAACAAGGAAAAGCATAACAAATCCACTTTGGTGTTTTTCTTTCTTCTTTTTTTGCTGCATCATGATATGGCACCTCAACCCCTGTCATCTGTGCTGTTGCAGGTGCAGAAGGAGAAGCTCCATGCCGAGCTGAAGCAGGTACTGAGCCAGAAGAGAAGTCATCTGAGAGAGTCGACCTGCCAGCTGGCCCAACCAGAGATGGACTCTGAGCCAGCAAATGAACAGACAGTAAGCAGAAGTCTGACTTTTCAGGCTGAAATACATCACCTTTCTATGTATCAATGGCTCAAAGCTGTAATGTGCCAGGTGATGCACAGCTAAACACAGAAAACTGTTAACTTTTTCCTGCATTTTACTTCCTCTCTTCAGCCTGTGGAAAAGTGAATGTAGTCTAAGAATAGAATGACCTTTCTTCTGCGACAGCTTCATGGATAAAATGAACTTTGAAGTAAAGTTGAGAACAGTACAGTAAAACATGCACCTACTCAAACAAGTGCAAAATTTTACTCAGCATTGGAGCCCAAAAATAATTAAAATTCAAGACCGAAAAGTGGTTTTAGCAATTTTTTACTTGCTTTTGACCTGCTATTCAATTCTGATGCAGTAGTGTGATGCAGGCTGACAAAACCACAGGATTTATGCACTGACTAACTTCTTTTAAAAGACTGAAATAATGACTAGTTTTGTGTTTAACTATATTTTTGCTATTACTAAACTAGTATTGGTAATAATAAAACAAAAAAAGAATCTCGTGGATAACCGAAGTTTTGTGTTGGTGTCTGTGTGTCGCAGAGTGTGGAGGAAGCCTCTAAATCTGTGGAGATTGTGGTGGAGACAGAGGCAGGGGCTGGAGCCAGCGGCTACAGTGTGACTGGTGGAGGAGAACGAGGGATCTTTGTAAAAGACGTCCTCAAAGACTCTCCAGCTGCTAAACACCTCAGTCTACAGCAAGGTGCCTGCAAGCACACCTGATTCATTTAGAAAGCACTACTAACATACATAACATTTATATAAGATTTAAAAGGTAATTAAAAAGATATTTAGACTTCTTTTAAGGAGTTTGCACAGAAAACTTTATTATTTGGGGGGAAAGCCCAATATTACATTTTCCACATCATCTGTTCTCATTTTATTTCATATCAGCTTTGTTTATATCCCACCTTTAAAAACAGAGTTCATGAATTGCTTCAGTAATATAATGAAATATGAAACAAAAAGCCAAAAAGTTGGGGCCAAATAAAGCAAATAAAATTAAGGTGAAATTAAGTTGAAGTTAAAAGGGGGGAAAATCTAATGTAACATGATATCAATAGAAGATAATAGGACAAGTCTTGACCCAGAAGGTGGAAATCTACAAATTCCAACAACAGTTGACGCCTATTTTTGTTGCAGAATTTTGCAGAATTTTTGTAAAAATCTTCAAATATTGATTAAACACTTCCTGACTCATCAGGGAGTCTGCAATTTCCAAAGAGTTAACAAACTCTAACCCACTTTTTTTTAAATGCATTTATTCTGATGACATTGTCATTAAGG